GGCTATTAAATAGTGTAAATTTCTCTATCAAAACCAGCAAAGTAAACGGATAAGTATTGTTTGAAATAAAAATACTTACATGTGTTTTAGATTATATTGGTTTCCTTATAACAAACAAACGTACTTTTTACCAACCAGTGTAATGTTCGTTAGTTGAAGGGTAAACAGCTTAAAGTTAGCTCACGGATCTCTCAGAGTAAATTACAATTTCGGTTTGTAAATAGTACACTATTGTAACACTGTGCTATACATTTGGCAAACTGCCTTCAATACATGTATATACAAACGTGTACTGTTTAGTCGTAGTCGGCAGTAGCAGCAATGTATTACAGTAATATTTACTCTACGTTACTCATGTGAGAACAAAGTGGTAAACTAGAATAATTAACAAAATTTTAACTTCAGTACTTTTTTTAAAATATATATAAACACCAAAACAACGAACTTGCTGGACAAAATCTGTGTGGTAGCTAGTGCAAACCAAGCGAAGATAAATTGTCGCAAATTAATTTTACTTTACATGTTTATTTTGCAGGCTTCATGTTCAATGTCAACTTTATACCGTGACGGAAGTTTATAGACCTTGTACTCTGTTAACTGTCAACTAATATCTATAAATCTTAAGTTGTGAATGGAATGTATGTTCAAGGATTAAACGTGACACTAGATCTCATGCCATATTCACCGTGATGGGAGTATGATGAATGGGATATTGCAGCAAAATGTCGCATAACACAGTAGGCCAGTTACATACTGAAACAAATATCTACGTGCCGACGCTTTGAATTTAAGCACTTCAAACTTCATTTTCCAATAAACCGGGAACATATGTATATTTGTTACAAGCTAGTGCACTAATTACAAAATGGTAATTAAAAGCTGACAGTTGGTTTGTTAGACTGTACCAGGTTTCCATGCGATGGCAACTGCAGCGTTGGCTGGTGAACCATTTGCGTATACTATTTGATATATACCAATTATTTCCAATTATCCTTGCTCATGGAGAAGCTTTATCTTCAATAACATACTCCATTTCTTGACTTTTGAGAATTTAAATGGCACTAATAGGATGCAGCACAAATTCATCATTCTTTAATTTTATGACATGTATATATCCGAAAAAGTGTAATACTTCCTTGCTGCGGAAACCCGTGTTAATTTTGAAATGTATACTTGAAATGAATTATGCTTAATATTACACGCTCACAATAGGAAACACATATATTGTATTCATCACTGCACAGTCACAGCACATACATTTGTAAATTATTAGTAAACATGCGTTTTAAGGAAATTAACTTGAAATGCATACATCTCATATTTTAATTGTAATTTCCCATCTAAGTGAAGGCGCTTGATGATAATCTTATACAGAAAGTTGACTGTTTTGCAAGCAGTTTGTTATAGTTTGTTGTAAATGACATTACTTCAATATACATGGATACATACGTTATTTGCTGAGTGTTGATTTGTTGAAATACACTTGATGATATTTTATAGTTTATCCGTGCTGCTCACTAGTCAAATTAGCCTACCACAGTCACGAAAAGCCTTAAAGGATCGCTTTGTCCTACTTGAGCTCGTCAGTTGTTTCCATCCCCTCAGTCACCTTCCAGGTTGGAATTTATGGCTGCAAGTACATGACGCCAATTAACCAACAGCTTAAGCTACTGACCCATGGAGGACGGGGGCGGACCCCTGGACTTGAATGCTGACTGGGATATAACGCAGGTTTTTACAATTGCAGAGAAATTGACTGGTCACAAAGCTACGATTGGCAAAAATTATTAACTAGTCACGTAGAATTTTAGTAATTTGAAGGCAATTGTTCAGTTGACTGCGGAGCAGGAGGATTCTTGCTGTGATTTAACTGGGCAACATAGACTTCCAATCCTTTCCCAGCTTGCGACTAGACTAAATTTTTGTGAGCATAGGGGACAAATTAGGAGTAAATGGTAACTTACATGGCCGTATAATATATAAGTAAACCATTTTCAATAAAATTTTCTATTTTGTATCAGACAAATGAATGTTTGTACGTGCAACTATTATTCGTATTTTCTAATTATTTCATTAATCGTTCATTGCTCTTTGCTTTAATGAGGCTTCTTAATTAATTCGCTTGAAAACAATTACGGATCGCGCAGTGATGCGTTACTTAACTATAATTATTTATATATATACATATAATTACTAGCGAAACTTTGATACGAGCTTCGTATTTGGTTACTTGTTAATGTCGATATGGTGCAAGTCAGTAAACGAAAATCTTGGACATCATTTACAACTTCATTTACTTAAGCAACTTAATCTATTCAATTCAGCTTATTGTATTTATCGAATGCTCTCTCACTTTTCCTTTGAATGAAACTACAGAATATCACCAAGTTTATTATGTTGGTGCAACGTTTAGTACTAAGAATTACTGAGTATTGTTAACGAACCCAAATGGAGATTAATTTTCTTACCAAAACACTTTGTCTAGCTGGTTGTAAATAAACTCACCTGTTCTGATATATTTGGAAGATGTGCACCATATACAGTAATCATTATGTTTAACTCCTCTAAATACAAGCTAAGATATGTCTTAAGAGTGAGACACAAAATTTAGAAGATCATCCCTGTCCCCTAGGTTCGTACAGCAAAATTTACATGACGAACCCAATATTATATCATTTGCTAAATTATGTAAAGAAATAAATCTATCAATAAAAGAAAAAGGTCCTTAAACCTTTTACTGTGTTTATAATTGCAATCGCGTCATACTATTTTTGATTCCTTGGTTGCAATATTATTTACAATATTATTAATTTATGTATTTACCATACTAGTTAATAAGCGGTATTCTTGCTATACCATATGAATTCCGTTAATATGTATAAAAGTGTACATATATATCTATATATATACACATGTTTGAATGTTTGCTCTCTTTTGTTCTTTTACTCTATAACCTTGCTAAATTTCCTTGATTTGGACAATTCAAATCAAGTCGATTTATGCTTTATATATACAAATGGGTGCATTTGCAACATTTTACGATAGCGACAATGAGTTTTCAAAAAGGTTGGTAAGTATCTAATAGTATAGAAAAATGTGCAGTGTGCACTATCATTAGTAAAATAATATTCGATCTATTAAACAAGAATTCCTGACTACTATTCAACACTTCGGAGTTTGCATCCAATCAAAAACGGACATTATTTTGCTGAAATATTTTTTCATAATTCGTTTTAGTGGAGATGTTATATTGTGTCCACAGTCGGTAGATTGGGGATCTTGCGCGACCTCTCAACACTTAGGTTCAATACGGGATAGAGTAGATTCGTCGCAGGGTTCTTAAAGTCTATGAAACCATAAGTACGTCCGGTTGTTCTTGCAAAACTGATTTATATATAGCAGCAAATGTAACATAGATTGATTGAAGATAAAGAAAACGGCCGTTTTATGGTACCCAAATGTTTCGTACCCAAACTAGTTCATTACCTTTATAAAACTAACTGCTAATGTTTTAGTAGAAAATGGTTGAAGGTAAAACTATGCATGTCCGAATTTTACATAAATTAAGGACACTATCTTTTTGTTTGGTCTGCCATAACTTCAACCTGGAAGCAAGGGCATATATAATCTGCGCTTACCACGCGTGGGTGTTGACATCAGCAAAGTCTAGCCGCTATCTTAATGGCTGTTCTTCTAATGCTGCATTTATCTTGTAGAAAATTCATGTTATACAAATTACGAGTGAATCACTTTATGTTCTGCTTGATCCGCTTGTATCTGCAGATGAAGCATATATCTCATATTAGCCCCTCAAAATTCAATTTCTATATCCTCACTTTCAACACATTTCACAGGATATCGTATAACCACCTTAGGCAATAATAGTTTTCGACAAAATGCTGCTGCGCCAGCAGTTTGATGAAGCCATTATATAAAAATGTGTTACTTTATGCTTAGGCACAATCTGTTTGCTTTTTTATCTCAGAAAATTTTGTACAGAGTGTGCACTTAAAGAAATACATATAATTAATTGTTATGTCACTCCTGAAAAAACCTATTTATAATGCTGATCTATGCCATCCAACAAATCTGGATAAAAAGCAGCTTATTTGGGTATCATGTTTCCATTTAATATTATTGATAACGAATAACGAAATATATTTCTCAGCAGTACAACGTATCGTTTATATACCTTCAATTGGATAGTGCACAGCGGGATTGCACGTAAAGGTAATTGATTAAAATATGTTAAAACAAAAGTACAGGTTTTTGAAAGGGTTAGTCAGTAAAATACAATGGATTGCGCAGCGGATAGTAGTGAAGGCAATTAAACAACTCACAGAACATTTCCAATTGAAATCGGCTCCACACCGTGTTATGCACTAAATACTTTCTTCCGTAATTTCACCCTCTACCCAGCCATGAGCAAGTTTGGCTTAGGAGAAAATACGCCCTCGTGGTAATAAAGTTGACTAATGCAGGCTGTGTTGTGCATACATTATAGGTATTATAGCAATCCAGCCACTTCCACAACCTTTCTGTTTCAAGTAAAATAAGTCAACTCTTAGTATTGAGTTAAACAAAATGAGCCACGCGTGGATGCACTGGCTGACTTGCAAATTTTAAGTGCCTAAGTCCTGACATGTTGTCCAATTTTCTTTTAAGATTTATATTGATGACATATCTCTTGTCATTATGAAAGTGTATAGAAAATCCCTAAATATTTTTACCACACATGGACTAGAATGGTAACAGTGTTCGTTAATTGTTGACACATTTGATTAGTTTAACCTAATTTGGAAGACATTTGTTGAGATACAAAAATATTGCATTTCTGAACTAAGAGAACGCAGCATGGGGAAATTGTTCACACATTGCGAACAGAGGCGTTGTATTACACACTATATTGAATTGTACTAACTTATGAAATAAAATGCTAAATTTTAACCATTTTTCAGATTTAATACGGATCACCTAACATCTGCCTTTGTATTTTCTAGGAAGCTATGTATTCCTGCAGATCTACGAGCTAACTGCTGATATGTCCTTAAAGAGACTATCAAGTGTCAAACCTAAGCCACTCAACTTACAACCTGTGAATATCGAATCAAAAGAAGATGGTAAAAGCAAATCAGCTGCATTGTCTTCCAATGGAAACGTCGTGACAAAATCCGATGACTTCGCTCGGATAGTGTTTCTTGGATCAGCCAGAGTTGGCAAAACTGCAATCATTCAGCGCTTTTTGCATGATTCTTTCGATCCAAAGTATATCCCGACAGTTGAAGATATTCACTCAAAGAAATGCATTGTGCGAGACCGACTGGTGCGTTTGCTGCTAATCGACACTGCCGGGAGTTACGATTTTCCAGCAATGTTGCGATTATGTATTGCGCAGGCCAGCGCCTTTGTTATTGTATTTTCCCATGACAATGTTGATTCTCTTACACGGGCTGGCCAATTATTGAGCCAGATAAAATCGCAAAGAACCGATTACGCTCCAATGTCTTCCGTCACACCGTATAAGGAAGAGGAGCATTCGGAAGCCTTTCGGTATGGCTCAGTAGTTATTCCACCACCACCAGTCACTGTCGTGTGTAACAAATCTGACTTGCCAGCCACACACTCACAAGTTAGTGAAGGAGCTATCATGGAGTGGTTACTGATGAACGGTCTTAAACCATCACAATTTGTTTACTCCAGTGCAAAATCAAATGATTCCATAATGTCTATCTTCAAGTCATTGTGGACGCAAAATGAACTGACTAAAGCTGTATCGTTTGAGCGTTGGAATGGCCCTAATCGGGCCAGCTTCTATACCAAACCACCACGCACCCCGTCTTCTGCTCCAGTAGCTACCGATTTCTCAGCCATCAATGAATCGATGACACAACGGCAGACTGTCTGTAATGCGGATGATAGTAACCGCGGCGAAAGTGGTTTACATAAATCGAGATCCAGCATCTTTCGAAATAGCCTACGCTTGAGACGACGATCCAGTTCGAAATCCAGCAAAGCCAAATCTGACACGATAAAGATTGAATGTGTGATTTCGTGAACAACGAATTATGAACTGCTATTTTTTATCTAAATATGTCCAAAATTTATGTATTTTCTATATGTCACAGCTGCGTAAATGCCTAATTTACACGTATTTCTTACTGTCTAACCTTTATTTTTTGTTATTGGGTATTCAAATAAAGCGTTGTCTTTCAGGCGCATAATATACACATATTGCTGCTGTTATAATGAGAATGAACAAGAGAAATGCAGGCGATGTTCACTTGTACCTAGGCCTGTCAAAATATATATTAAACTATTGGTTACTCGAATGTGCGCCACTACCTTACACGCCGCTCTGAATATACATAGAACAATAGAACACTGGTGTTAAATACGCAAAACAACTAAAGAGTTACAATGTTCGTAGGATATATATGGAGATTCTTGCAAAGTATGGAAGGGGTGTCAGGAAAATTGTGTTCACACCAATGTGTTCATCGAGGTGCATTTCTCATAGGCAGTACATCAAATGTAAATGCATATGTAGTGACGATAAATTACACGTTAGTGAACATTGTGTCGTCTCCTTGTGAATACGTGAAGGTGAAAAATAGGGCAAGTTTTCTGGGAGTTGACCAAGTTAGAATTTCCAAAGGCATTCCTGTGTAGGCATGAGTAATGCGTCATGTGAGATGCTAAAGTGAAATCATTGCGCGGTCACCTCGGGCACTGGACATTACAAGCGCAAAGACTAGAAAACAGCTTCAGGCTGGGCGTTTAAAGTTTGACAGACACGTAAGAAAAAGAAAATGCAACGGTAGTATAAAGGAATGTGCCGTTGTTAGCTCGAGACGGTAAAAGCTCATACTACTAGTGTAACGGAGCTCTAGTAAATGGCGGCACGTGTGCTCAGGATGTCTCAACATCTATACCATTTCCGAGTCAAGTTAGTTAATAGAGGAAGCAAATTGGTTCGTAAGCATTTTCAACTTGGTTCGTAAGCATTTTCAACTTGGTTCATAAGCAGTTTCAAGTTGGTGCGTTTCAAATTTTGGCTAAGATGCACACACGCACCGACGCGTAGCTTCCTCATTGGTCAAACACCGTCGGCCAACAGGATGCCGTGTGTCACCATAGAGCAGGTGTTCTCAAGCTTTTCGGCACCTGCACCCATTTTTAGCGTAACGTAGCACGATCGACCCCTGAGCTTTCCTTATCCACAGAACTAGGGTCTAATAACATAAGAATGAGGTGGAGTTCATCGCTGTACACTAAATTTGCACAGTTGTTCATTTATGTTGGCAAAAGTGAAGGCAGTTGAACTTACATGCAAATGCAACTATATTAAGGCCTACTACCTTGGATAAAATTCGTTCCGACATGCAGCGCTGACTTGTTTGATACTAGGTGTTATTGAGGAAAGCTATAACCTCGGATCTCGTTGCGCTTCAGGTCTGTCTCGGTACTTTGTTTTATATAGATATAATGCGAGAATGCAATCTCACACAGACAAGTTGTGGCAAATGGGAGAAGGACGGCGATAGCTGTCTACCATGACAAGGTACACATCGTTCGCTTTGTATCAGAAATCACACAGAGAGAGTCTGTGAAACGCTTTTTGAAAGTAAGAGTCTTAGATCATCTCCATGCATTTTGTATGCATGGCCGGATACGTTTCTCGGTTCTGCTGTCAGCGCATTACTATAACTAACGACGTAACATACTTCCCTAGCTTTTTTTACAGTTTGCGATGCGTGAAGCATGTACGTTTGGGTGTTCAATATTTTATCTCGCATGCGCTATAAGTCCTTTTTTCTGTCTTTACAGTCCGTATGAATTTTTCCAAATGCCGCTGCGTTTTAATAAGCACCATGTTTGTCACACAAGTCAACTTGTGTACAATTGTTGGACTCTATAAATCCAAAAAGAACATAAATGTTGTTGTATTTGCACCTCTTACACACTGGTACGGAGGATCCGGTTGGCACAGACTTATATTGCATCACATCTCCGTTGCTGCATGCTCAGAAGGCACATTGACTGGCCCAACCACTACTACATCTGGATTCGACGAAGAGTATGCCTGTGAAACATTTAGCAGTATTCCATTCTTCATTTCATGGTCCCTGTTGATGTTACATGTATAACTACAACAATAGAGATAAAAAATTTAACACAAGAGTCCAAAACACACCAGGGATTTGGTTACTATGATAGGTTGTACTTTGAAAGAAGTATCGTAGTGAACGAAAGTGCCACCCTTTTGTAACGTCGTTGATGTAGTTTCCCTCGAGTTCGCTTAATCGGCTGAGCACACTC